CTTATTAGACGTTTTGTTGTGTAGTATCGCTGAGTATTTTTACTCGTTATTTGTATTTTGACTTGCCCTACAGGCTTGTCAAACTACGGCACAACTCGTAAAAATACTCAGCGATACTACACAACTAAATGTCTTATAAGATATATGTATCAGGACTTGACACTAAATTTTCAACTTACTAGCCCAGCGGCTGATGACATCTTAGATGTTACCACAATTTCAGTTTATTTACTAGTAAAAACTGAATTTCTACTAGTCTGTGGCTAGTTGGCTATCATTAGTGTCGAGCCCTGCATCATATATCTTATAAGACGATTAGTTGTGTAGTATCGCTGAGTATTTTTACGAGTTGTGCCATATTTTGACAAGCCTGTAGGGCAAGTCAAAAAAATTCTGTCTTGGTCATTCATGGGAGTGAAAAGGTTAAGTAATTATGAACCTTTCATCTGAATAAAAAAAATAGGTTTAGGCCCATAGAAATTTAATAACCAGAGAATTCTGCATTCTCTGGTTCTTAATGACCACCACTGGTCAAATTCTTTTTAAAACCTGAAATCATGATATAAATCTTTCCCACCTTCTCCATTCTGTAGATTCCCTTGGTAGTCTCTTCTCAAGTTCTGGGTTAAGTTTATTATACACATCTTTTTCACCATAACCTGTCATTCAAAGATGTATCAGCATATCAAATTATTCTGTCTCTGAAGAGTTGCATACTCTGCACATCAATGAAAAAGCTGATAAATTTAAAATTGCCCTACAACTAAAGGAGGAAGTAAAAGGTATACTGCCATAGACATGAATGTGAGTTGTGCCAAAATTAATGATGTTAGAGAAAGGACTCTTTTGGTCTCTTCCTGTGGATGGGTCTACATCAGGGCCGGGTTGTTCAAAGCTGAATTAAGAAAACCCAGGGTTAGTGTGAAATTTGATTTCAGATCTGAAAGAAAATTCAGTTTAATTCCATTTGCCTATAATTTGATGATTGAATGCTCTAAGAAGAATTGTGAAAATTATTCCAAAATGGCTTTTGAATAGAGAAAAATAGAAACCTGGATTAAAATTTAACCCTGGGTTAGTGCTAATCAGCCTTCATACAACTGGGCTCTTGTCCTTTACAGTTTCCAGATAATCATTTACAACTCAGGGTTTGACACTGTGACCCAATTCATGTGCTACTGTGATCACTAAAAGTAGCCAGCTAGCCACAGACTAGTAGAAATTCAGTTTTGGTTGTAAACAAACTGAAATTGTTGTAACATCAAAGTTGTCACTAGCCTCTAGGCTAGTAAGTTGAAAAGTCAGTGTCAAGCCCTGCAACAGCTAAGTAGAGAGGTGCTATAAGAGTTAAGTGCATTTCCCACCAACAAAACCCAATGACCTTGCTGGACCAAAATGCTGCTGCATGTCCCACAAATTAAGCATGCTGAGAAAGAAAAGCTTGCCTGTCAGGCTCTCAGAAATTGAGTAGGTTCCTGGTCTCCCCTTTCAGTCAATAAATCTCACAGGTGAAAATGACTTTGAGTCAGTCACTCGCAAAGCTCAAATCCACTCTTCATATTTTCCAAAAATCAAATATCATCTAACTTCATGTGTTATCTTTTGATTCCTAGCTTGAGAACTTTCCATCTTACACATCCCATGACTGCTCTAATAAGCCCCAGGGAAACTTATTGATTTGCAAGGGACTTTCAGTTGCTGGGGGGTAGTTTGTAAGAGAGGAAAAGGACTTATTTCTACTTTTCTCCTAAATTTTTACCAGGATCTTTAAAAGATAAAGATGAAGCTTTCCAATACAGCTATAATTTGAAACGACATGGTATCAAGTCAAAAGGAATAACAATACAGCTAAACCTTTGGATGTTCTTATCAGGGAAGATGAGGCGTACTGTAATTTCCGGCCGTTTACCCGAACGGCCGATTACCCGCACCAGCCGATTATTGCATGCTGCGAAAAAAAAAGTCAAGAGATTACCCGCACTGGTGGATAACCCGCACCTTAAAAACAAAGGAAAATTGTACAAATGTGCTCTACAATTCACAACGTTGCATACTTAACAGAATGCGAATTCATGGCCACATTTTGTGCGAACGATCATTCAGCGCCATGTTGATTTCTCAAAAAAATCGATATCTCTGGTTCTACTGGGCCTAACAAGTCCCTTAAAATGGGAAAATTCTCTTTAGCTGAAGCTAGTGTTAACTGGAAATTTGTTACTGATGTGCCAGTTATCCTCTGTTTATTTTTGTGACCATCAAGGTTTTGTTTACACGCGTGCCGATAGTAATTTGTTCGTCGCACAACTAATTGTGCGTGAAATAAACTCGAGTCGGCATCATGTTTTTGTGCCGCTTTGTGGCACTCTTAATACAATAAAATTCATCTTTGAGGTGGAAACGCAGGTAGGTGAGAATATTCTTCAATTCAACCACCAGTAGATTTCAAAAATGTTACATAACGCGCACCTCCCGATTACCCACAGTGGCGCGCATTTAAGGCCAAATCAACAGATTACCCATGGGTAAACGGCTGGAAATTACAGTACCAGAAACTTACCAGGGGGCTTTTCAGGCGACCCTAAAATCCAGAATGGGGGAAAGGTGGAATGGCAGAATAACACCCCGAACAGCTGAAAATGACCCTAAATCCTAAACACAGAACGGCGGAAAATGACCCCAAATCCTAAAACACGGAATGGATGACAGGGCCTGTTGCACAAATTTTGTACAAAGACAGTCAAGCGCTTGGCTCATTCATTCCCACGACGATAACATGCGTGACCAAACTTGGACTAGTGTGAGAGCAAGAGAGGTTTGCATGGGGTCGTGCGTGTGGGAATTTCTCATGGCGTGAGAAGACAAAAGAAAGTTAATAGAAGGAAGCCGTCAAGAAGAATTTGAAGAATTTCTTCGCAACCAGGTGTCCAAAACACCACCATCCTACTATGAAATTTACGGCTTACATATCAGCAGAAGAAATAAACTTTCTGTACAAAAAAAGAGGCTATTTCACTAATTTGTCTAATTTGCATGGCAAGAATAGATCCTGTCAGAAGAACCCCGCTAACTTAAACCCGGTGAACTCGAAACCCCCCTTACTCGAACTTAAAAACAAAACCCAATTTCCCTTGGATTTGACCCCCTTTTTCCAGTCATTTGCTAGTGGCAACTCCTAAAAGACGCAACAGTGGAAAATTACCCTAAAGCCTAAAAGACGGAATTATAGGCAGGCCAAGGGAGCAAGAGAGCCAAATAAAAATCAAGTGTACCCACCCTAATTTCCCTTTAGGAGGATAACTTCTGCAGATATTATGTCAATACCTGAAAAAATTATCTTTCCCTCCTAATAATGTGTAATATCATGCTGTGGATGTTTGGTTTGTTTCTCTTTCATTGCCTAACAATCAATTCCCAATAAATCAATCAAGGTGTTGTACAATTTTCACCTTTAGTTAACTGCACATTCTAAATCATTATGCCTTTGTAAATTCAGTTAACCTTAGAGAAAACTAAGAAGAGGACAAGCGATACAATATCTGAACTTCTTTGGTCTGAATTATTACTCAACTGTCCGTTAACTAATTTATCGGCTTCCTTCTTTAACTTTCTATTGTCTTCTCATGCCATGAGAAATTCCCACGAGCAAGACCCCATGCAAACCTCTCTTGCTCTCACGCTAGTCTAAGTTTGAATGAGCCAAGCGCTTGACTGTCTTTGTACAAAATTTGTGAACATGCCCTGTCATCCGCCGTTCCGTGTTTTGGATTTGGGGTCATTTTCCGCCGTTCCGTGTTTTAGGATTTGGGGTCAGTTTCCACCATTTTGCCATTCCACCGTTCCACTGTTCTGGCTTTTAGGGTCACCCAGGCTTTTCAGAGAGACTTATAAAAGGGAGAGCTTCTAACAGTGTTTAAGATGGGTATTTTTTTTGCACAAGCCAAGACACACAATTTGAATCCTTAAAAAAAATCGCCTTCTTCCGTAGCTGGTCTTGTAAGGGAGGGTGAACATTATTGCGAGTATTTCAAGAAGATAGGGTCAGTTGAGACGTGTTAGTTGATAACAATAATCTGATTTGAAATAATCAGAGATTGACATCCTGAAAACGCCTGGAAAAAAGGCGAAAGAGAAACCCAACACAAGATGCTAGTATTAGATGAAACCCCTTCAAATCAGATACTCACAGGTTACTTTTGGTTTTAGGTCCATGTCGGCTTTCTCAGATCTTGAACGAGTCCATGCATGAGAGAAACGTCAACGTAAATTTGCAGTTGCAGAAAGTTAAAGGCAAGAGAGCCGCCATTTCGGAAGTTGAAGTCTACTGTTCTTGCGTTGTAAGAGGTGTCCGCTAAAAAAGATGAGCCTGCAGTTTTCAAAACAACTTGTATGGAAAAGAGTAGAGGAAACGTCACGCTCGTTTGATCAGGGGTACGTATGGGTACTTCGTCCGAGGATTCCGTTGCAAAAAGTTAATGAAGAAACCAATGCATTCTGATCTATGTTATTTCAAAACTACACGTCCTCATAATACTGGTATACAATGTATCCGTTTCGCATCCATAGAAAGCGCCGAGTTCTATTTGTTGCCGTCCTGGTACTCTTTCTTCTTGGCTGTTTAGCAACCTTCACAGTTATTTCTTCTGAGGAGAGAAGGGATGGAACGCCAAAAGTATTAAATCCACAAGAACGGGAAGAAGATCTGAATCTGAAAGGATCTGACGATGAATTGCCTTCGGAAACCAATCAAACAAGCCAAGAGGTTGACCATGAAGAAGGCAATCAGGAAACAATGGATATAAATCACGCGAAAGAAGAAAACCCAAGCACACCGAACAAAGAACATGTGTACGAGGAAGATTTGTTTCCTGAACCTAACTATAACATCCACATATTTTATTATGCTTGGTATGGAAACCCGGAGCATGATGGACAGTATGTTCATTGGAATCACCGATTCCTCCCTCATTGGAATCCCGATATAGCCAGGCGTTATAAACAAGGTTCTCACACCCCTCCTGATGACATTGGATCTAATTTCTATCCTGCATTAGGCCCTTACAGTTCAAAAGACCCATCTGTAATTACAGACCACATGAGACAAATGAGGACTGCTGGAGTAGGGGTGGTTGTTCTCTCGTGGTACCCCCCTGGTAAAGCAGACAATGAAGGGATCCCTAGTGATAGTTTAGTACCTACACTCTTAAATGCAGCAGATAAGTATAAGCTCAAAGTAACCTTACACATTGAACCTTACAAGGATAGGAATGATAAAACACTTCATGATGATGTCAAATACATCATTGACACCTATGGCAAACATAAGGCTTTCTATAAATACACAGTACAAGATGGAAGAGATTTACCCATGTTGTATGTATACGACTCCTACCATACCCCAGCAGAATCATGGGCACAGTTGCTGACACCTGGAGGATCACACTCAGTACGTAACACAGAGTATGACTGTACATTTATTGCTCTGATGGTCGAAATGAACCACAGAAAGTACATAGACACTGGTGGGTTTGATGGTTTTTATACATATTTTGCAACAGATAGATTTACATATGGATCAACTTGGAGATTTTGGCCCCAGCTCAGATCTGTTGCTGAGCAAACTAAAAGCTTATTTATTCCAAGTGTGGGAGCAGGGTATATAGATACTGGAGTGCGGCCTTGGAATAGCGAAAACACACGAGCAAGGAACAATGGAAATTATTACAGAAACAGCTGGAAAGCAGCCTTGCAAACTAAACCTCAAATTATCTCAATTACCTCATTTAATGAGTGGCATGAGGGAACACAAATTGAGGAAGCTATTCCTAAATCCCAAGATGGACTAGTATACAAAGATTATAAACCCAATTCACCTGACTTTTACCTGAAATTGACAAAAGAGTATGTTGATAAGTTTGCTGCAATGCATAAATAAAATGTTTGTAGTGACCACATGTTTTCAAATTCTCAGTAATGATTGGTTCAGTCCAGTTTGATCTGGGTTGTTAGTTTTTGTGGAGGTAAGTGAAAAAGCTATAGGAAACAAGTGGGGGAGCTATGTAGAGCAATTAAAGGGGTCAGAAGAGCATTACTGAAAAAAAAAAAAGAAGCATTTCCACATGTTCTTTTTATTTTTCTCATGTGAAATAAACCAATTTTTGCTCTCACTCTTTTCAGCTCTTATCCACTGGGATCCTGAGACAGGCTAGGTTTAGTTAACAGACTAAAGGATATAGGATTATAGTGTGGCTTAATGGTAAGCATGTGGACACCCGATCAAAAGTTTTGTTGTCTTGTGAAGACACCTTAACTGGTGTCTATCCATAAGAGGCCTAAAGGACTAATCAACCTGTGTGGTTCTTGTATGAATCTGATTGAAGGTGATCAGTAGACAAAATTGGGTTAAAATTCACCATGGCCTCTATTCTTTTAATTTGGACGTGGGATCAGAAAACCAGGTCTAGTGCACAAAGTGGAGAACCTTTGGAGGGAACTTGCCAGCAACAAAACGACTTTAGCAATGCCTGTTGCTCAAAAATAAACTTAATGAATACTTACCTTCAGATAAAAATGTTGTTACTTTTTTAAAGCAGTGGTCTTCATTTTTGAAACTGGCCCAAACAAGAAGAAAATGAGTAATACTGTGACTCAGTAACAGTGAGACCACAAGTCCAAATACCATAAAGCTTGATGGGGTTATGGCTAAGCAATCCAGATTTAAAAACACAGAAGATCAATTGGAGATTCTACAACCCAAACCACCCACAACCAAGGAAAGGTCACACACAATGGGCTGAACTTCAGCTAGTGTTGCCTTTAGAAGCTGGCAGGCAGTTGAAACCCACCTGCTACCACACCATTTTGTATGGTCTACTCTGTAAATTGCGATCAATAAACTGTTATGTGAAAAAGTGAAAACCACATTGGTGGACTAAACATTTAATTGTTAACTAGCAAAATATTTAATACTGAACTGAATGGACCTATGGTAATGGGCTAGTCCTTTATCTGGACTTTGACATGCTCAACATGTCCTTGTAAGTGCATCATTGTTGGTTTTGAGCAGTTTCTATTTCTGTTAGGCTCAGATGCTCCCATTACTCCTTTTCTTATCTTTTCATACCCAGATTATAATTAACATATACAGAAGGATTGGCAATTTTAATCATACATGTCTGAAAACAGGATTACAACTTCTGCATGCTGTTTTTTTTTTACTGTTGTATTTTGCTTGTCAATTTTTACAATTTTAGATGATCCTTTGCAAGAGATATATATTTTCTAAATCAACATTATCAATTTACCATCTTTCACACATGCATGTTACTTTCATTGTAACAAGTAAAATAAACTCTTTCATCATAAAATGCAGTTATTTCTTCCATTCATCTATTTCATAAAAAATCGACAAGAATAGCACAGTGAATAATTTTAAATAGGGAAGATTGCCATCTTAAAGGTTAAAGGTAATTTGCAGTACAAATAATTAAGTGTATCGCATGCAATTTAAAAATTATAGTTTGAGCATGAAATGATCTATCAGCAAACAAAAAGATTACAAGTGCTATTGGCAACAGGTAGGTATGCCAGCCTTGCATCTTAAAACAAAAAGGACCAATAATCGAGTGCCTGAAATATTTAGCTAAACATTTCTTTACAAAAAAAATATTCAACCAGTTACAAAGGTGATTTCTAATAAGAATATCAAGTGTTCATCTCTCACGCTCCTTAACAAATAAAGGAACACTGGAAACAAGACATACTGTTCCACTATGATCCATGACCATTTGATGTATCATTTTCCCAAAAACAAGCTAAAATTAGACAAGCTACTTGCTAATAATAGCACATTAATTTTATAAAATATGTCAGAATGTCTTTTAAGTGTTTCCTACTTGAGGTACAGTGTAATGCTATGAAAGCAAAGAAATATATTCTTTTCAAGTCCGTGTTTGTTTAGTTGCCATTAAATCTGTGGAGTAGAAAATGAAATCATAACTTTATATCATTCAAATTAGAGGACCATACAGCACAGCTTAAGCAAATGAGGTCAGTGAATGGTTTATTATATGGCACTTGGACCAAACATATTTATATTTTGAATTTGCTGGTTCTCATGAACAAGAATACACAGCTTATGACTGTTTCCATAGTAATGGTCCAATGGTAAAATCATGACTGGGTAAGAACCAATCAGAATGCTTGGATTTGTACCTTGCCATATAATAATAGTTTGTTAAGAGTTCCAGCACAGAGCCCTGATTTACCTCACAACTAGAGTACTGTCTGTTTAAACTGTACTCTACTTGCCTTGAAAAGGTTCTGAAGGAAAACCACACCTGGTCTGAGTTAGTGGGAGGTTTGACTTATTGCTTCAGGAGAATACTGCTGTATTGTAATTTGCAATTACATTCATCTCAACAAAGACTTACTCCATCAATATCAGCATCATCATCTCCATCATCTTCATAATCATCAAACTGGATATCATCTTCTTCTCCTTCTCCTCCTTGTCCAATATTTTCATTGATCTTAGCTGCAAAGTGTCGAAAAACAAACCAGAGGTCACAACTTCAAGACACTTGAAGACAATGAAAAGCCAACTAGAATTTAAAGTCATTTATTTTCATTACACTGGAGCAGGTTCATCTATGCTGAGAATGTTTGAGCCAATTCTGACAGTCAATAAGATAAACTCTCTCATTAAGACAGCTCTAAAAGAAACTTTAAAATACCACAAAAGAAATCAACTCTTCACCCTCCTTTGCACTCATTTTGATACAATTAGCAGAGAAAAGGATTCTAGAACTTCATACACCAATGCATCACCAAGTCCAGATTAAACAATGATATCTCAATGAAGTTCCTATAGTCAAGTTGATGGTCACGATGATGGTCATCACACAAATAAAGTTCCCATTCTCTGTGTATCTCTTCAATCACAATAACAAGAAAAAAATAAATTGGAGTATTTTGTTTCAAGATTTCATGTTAATGTTCACATACTCGCAGAGAGTTTAAATACTTGGAAAACAACAAAATCAACTGTGTACATTTTCTTTGACAAGAAAGCATTGAAATTGCAGAAGACCTGAATCTCATTGCTGATGTTAATGTGGAACACAGTTTATTGGGATTTTTAATATCTCTATTTCTGGCAAACAAACTGCCAAGAAAGAATTGAAGAGTTTTCATTTTTCCAATTCTACTATTTCTTACAACTACTTACTATTGTCTGGAAGCTCTCCATAAGCCTTCAAGTTCCGGGCTTCATCAGGATTGTAGCGCAGAATCACATCTGCTTTGTTATCCTTTAAATTGAATCAAAAAGAAAATATTGTAACCTTTCTTAAAACCTATAACACTCAAACTCTATAGCAGCCACTGAGAATTAGCAAGGATATCAAAACATAGACATCAGTCAAAGGGTGATAACTTTTAAGCACCACCAAATTTTCAAGAATACACTCTTACCAATGTTGTTAGGGCTAAAAAAAAAAAATTAAGTCAGGTTATAACTATGCCTCGACCAGTCATCATCATTTCTTGACCCATTTATATAACAACAGGGTTTCAGTTGCAAACTTGCCCCATATGTATTCAGAGAGGTAAAAACAATATTGGTATATTGAATCAAGAATGTAAAATTTTGATACCATACATGACTGTTTCTAAAACTCTTTCATGTGTCTGTGAGCTAAAACCTTTTTTCTCCTGCCTGTTTTGTACTATTTGTTTGGGAAAAGCATTGCTCTTCATATTTCCCAACCTTTCTCAACCCAAAAATTCTTTTTCTACCCTTTTACCATGAACTGATGACCGAAAATTTGAAATCACGGGCATGCTAGGAGTTATTTTTTTGGATACGTGTTTTGAAATGGGACACTAAGTGGCTGTTATTTGCATTTTTGAAGAAGAAAAAGAGGATTTATTTTCAAAGATTCCATTGAGAGAGCAAAACAAAAACATTCCGATTTATCTGAAAAAACTCAGACATATGCATTTTATAGTATTGCCACTGGTGTCTGAATAATTGTTGACAAAAATAAACTGCACTGGCACCACACCTTCCTGCAGTCTCCTCCACAGCCCTAAATTGGTCTCATCACGCAACACTCTCTCTCCCACGTTGCATGATGAGACCAAACTATGACTGCTTGAAGACTGTGACAATGCTAACTGCCATTCCTTAGTCAGGGACAAAGTTTTAATAATTAAATTACAGCTAGTTGCCTCAAAAATATTGTTCCATGTAATTTTGCAGTGGAAAGCAAACCAAAACTCTATTTCCTTTCTATGAACCCCTGAACAAAGATATTTTGGTTCTCTCTTCTTCATACAAGTGAAAATACGTTGAATGAAGAAAAAAGTATCATATTTCAAAGCTTAACAGCTCCTTATTCTGCTGTTGCCTATCTGGACTTTGCCCTGTGTGTGGGAAATACATATTAATAAAATGCAGGTTGTTTAAAAGAAATTGACACCTGATGGGGTGAAGTCCAAGGTAGCTAAAAGAAAATTTTATTAGCAGAAAACATCTAAGCAAGTGAGAGTTGCATGGAAAACTGACTGACATGACAGTAGCATTACATTCCTTGCTAAATTTATTTTCAGCGACATAGGATTGTGTCATGAATTTATGTTGTTTACTGGAAAATGGCATTTCATCTGAGAAAGTCTAGTCCATAGTGGTGAGTAAAAAGTAAACACGTAACTGTAGCAGGAAAGTATCATTTAAACACAATATTTAACTCATGGAAAACTGTTAGAATCAAAGAAACAGATATTTATCATGGCAGTCAATACATAAAGTAAGTATAACCTGGTGGACTTTTCAACCTTTGCAAAAAGAGCAAACACAATGCAAAACCAAGATCATCAATCAAATATGATCTATGCAATTGCTTTGCACAGGTGTTGTGTGAGTCGGCAAAACTAGCACTTCCAAAACAACAGACTCTAGTGATAAATTAGCGTTACGCCTTAATTCCACTGCTTTTCTGGTTTTCCATCATCTAGGCAAACTTTGAAATCTAGAAATCTCTTCTAGATATTAAAACACTCAACAAATCTCTCTAAAAACACAACCTTACCTGGTAATCACGTAGTCCAAGGAGTATAATATCACCAGTATTGATCCACACCTGCAAAGTAAAGAGGCTTTGAAGCTTATAAAATTACTACCTTTAACTTAATCTTTTGCCTTTTCTGTTTCATTCAATTGATCATTACTGTAATTCAACAAAAATTTGCAACACACAACTTAATTGCCTAAATAAGTAACCCTATAGCTGGGTCAAATTACTTGGTTATTGTTGTTTTTCCTTTAAATCATATGCATACAAGGAGTGTGAAGAAGAGATGATAACTTGTTATTATCAAATTTTGTTGCCATAATTACAACTATTGTTGTTGTTTGTAACTCGTTAAGAGTCAAAACTAACTCTTGTTAGCCATCTGAGAAAGCCTTCACAAATCCCAAAAATTCAACAAAAGATCTGATCTATCAGATGAAGATTTGACATAAGGTGATGTTGTGAAAGCCTGAAGATCGTAGGCAAGATAAACGATAGTTCAAGGCTTAGTGCAAGTAAACATATGGTATCGTCTCCTTAAAATTATAAAGAAACTGACAAAATTTCGAGGAAATAGCCAAGATATTTACAATTCAGAATGAACAACTCTACCCGAACGTCGTTCCACTCCTGATCTATCGATGCTTACAAACAAAATATTTGAAAACTTTGACGTATAAGATGTGTCAGAGGCAAAAATGTTTAGCATGCTTCAAATAAAGGAACATACGGAGAGAAATCACACTTCTACAATTCATCTCTGTTGATGAACATGTGATGAGCTACATACAGCTGTTGTAGCCTAGATGTGGATGCGCTTACGGGGCTACAGATATCTCAGATGGCATAATAGACTTTATGGGGTTTAAGTATGAGAAATAAAAAGTAAAAACATCCCATAGTCCATCCAAATAAGAAGATTCCCGACCTTTTTGCGAAGTTTTCCGCGAATATGACAAAGCCGCTTGGCGCCATCGAAACAAAGTGCCTCCAACCTTCCATTTCCCAACATCTTCACGACTTGAGCATACTCTTTTGAAAAGTCAAACGAACAATAAATTAAGAATAGAAACGAATCAAACTCAAGAAAATAAAAGCCTAGATACCTTGACCATCTTCTTTAAAGACAAGTTCACGTTTCTCTGACTCGTTCTCGTTCTTTCCCCTTCGTCGATTTTTACCTCCCTTTCCTGGGCAAAAGCGAGACAAACAGAGTTAAAAAAAAGGAGATCGAGGAAGATATGACACATCGTTTTTCTTACCTTTGTTCTTCGGCATTCTAAATTTAATTCAAAGTCTTTTTCTCTCGAAATATACTTAACCCACGTTCCCAACAGAGAAAATAATGGCGTCAATTGAGCATGCTGTAGTTCGAGACAGCGGTAACCAATTACGAAAAGACTGCTCTTCGTTGTGCAATCGATCATGTAATCGACAATTTTCGTGTCATAATCGACAGTGTGCCCTGGGGTCCCCTTTCACCCTTGTTGAACACATGATTCAAGGGAGGAGCCGCTCCCCCAATCCCCCAACATAGACACAGATACATAGGACTGTGGAATACTCTTCCACCCAATATGAAATGTACAACCTCGCTCTTAACATTTAAATCTAAATTAGATAACCTATATTTTTCTAAACTTGTCCCATACAGTCCTCCAAGTTAGTATTTTATAACTTAAATAACTTGCTTTTTTGGTAAACATATTCTGGCCTCTTTTTTATCGTATAATAGGGGTTAGGTGTGAAAGTTCTGTTCCTCTCTCCTGCCATTCCACTTCATTTTTTCTTTTCTTGTAACTGTGTAATGTGGATTAGTTGTTTGTATTTGTTGAAACGTGGCGAATAAATTAAACTAAACTATATTTTGGTGAGGAAATTATTGCTAGCCTGCCATAAGTCTCGTGATTTTCCACAACTAACGACATAAGGGTCCTACCCGTAAAACGACACAAAAATTTAACAGTTAGACGTAAAAAATGACAAATTTTAACGGTTAGTTGTAAAAAAGGTTAATCGTCTAGCCATATTCACCATGTGTAGTTCTGAAAATATCAAAATCTTCGACTTTTAGGCCTCTTGTCTTGTCTTGTGGCCAATGCACCAAAACATAAAACTACTCGACTCTACATCAGCCCAATTCGATCTAGAATTACCCTTGTTGCTTGATTCCTAAGGTAGAAGACTTTTAGAACAATGAAAAGAATTGTTTATCTTCCAAATGATCGAAATTAATTTTTAACATTTCTCACTCCTGTTAACCGTAAATGAGAGCAATTAACTGTAAGCCGTAAAATGGCAAAAATTTTAACCGTAATTTTAACCCCATTGAGATCAGAGACTTTCTTCTATCATACGAAATGTGCTTGGCGAAATAATATGCCGTGGACTCTTCTTTTTTTTTTCTTTTTTTTTAATGCTCTTGTTTTGAAAACTACTGACTTGTAAACATTGTCACAAATTGCTCACGGACGTACGATTACAAATAAGTTTTCTAGTACCAAAGAAGTATAGCCTGCGTAGCCAGGCTCTTTTAGGGGGCTAAATTTGAGAACATGCACGCGCTTGACGTAGTCCAAGATCTCCTTCGAAGGTAGTATTGCGTGACATCCCAAAGAACGGCTGCGTAATCGTTCACAAAAAAAATGCGATCGAGAAAAGCCTTTATGTAAAGAACAAAGAGAGACCACCGTTGGTGATCAATTGTTTTTGTGAAATAAATATATCTTATTAGACGTTTTGTTGTGTAGTATCGCTTAGTATTTTTACGAGTTGTGTCGAGCTCGTAGGGCGAGTCAAAATACAAATAACGAGTAAAAATACTCAGCGATACTACACAACAAAACGTCTAATAAGGTTATTTATTATCCAACACGCCAAACTGTTGTTTCAGCGGGCGAATTTCGCGGATATTTATTTACGGGGAGTGCGTGACAGAAGTTTGCGAAGCGGAACGGAATTGACACGTTGTGTTGCTGTTTCTATTTTCTTCATTAAATGAAGAAATTTTCTGGTCGTCAAGCTTTTTTTCTTCGTTCGATTCATCAAATGAACTTAGATCTATATTTGCCAGCCATTCTGACTCTTCGTCGTCGGAAATATGATTCAAATTGTCCGCCACTTTTTT